TCATCTTCATATCTGTAGGCTAAGGGCATTCTGGTCCCATGTTAGACATGAATGGGGTTTTCCTCCATTCAGTGGGCACCATTGCAGAGGCAGGGGATATCGCTTTAGCTCCAAGGCCTGGAGAAGGAGTGGTCAAACAAGATGGACACCTGCAGATTCCCTGTAACATTTCCCCCCTCCCCTCTTCCCAAAACGTCAAAGAAGCAAAACCCAACAAAAATAGGAAATTATGGTGACACATCTTAGACTTCTTGAGCAAATAGGGAAATTAAATGTCTCAGGTGCACTGTAAGTCTTTTCATGCCATCTTCTTCCCTACTCAAGTGTGTGTTTTGTAACAGCAATGGTGTTGGAGCCCTCAGAGTACGGATTTGGTAGCAAGCAAAGTCAGGGAAGGTTGAGAGGATCAAGGAACCACACAACAGGCAAGTGTATCCCCATGGATCCCTTTCCTCCTTTGGAATATCCTTCTTTCCTGAGACACCCATACACACAGATTTTAAGAGTTCTTTGAAGTCAGAGGACAGACTTGCATCTTCTGCCACAGGAGACAAACCCAGCTTCATGCCCTTCCTGAGGAAAAAAGAAGGAATTATACAAAATCATACTGTTGGAGTTTAACCAGTCTTACATAGATTATCATCACAGAGAGGAGAACATATCCCCAAGTAAGGACTTCTGGATTGAGCTTACATAAATAAACCTCAGGGAGTGAGTGGGTGAGTGAGTCAAGTGAAAGATACCAAGAACAAAGGTGAACGTCTACATTTCTGTGGCTACTGACTGTGCTCCCAGTTCAGTGGCACTGGGAGACCTGATGTCCACCTTTAAGAACAGAATTAAAAAAACAATCGGCTTGAGGTGAAAGTTTTTATGTGCTGGATTTGCAGAGCTGGCAAGTCATTACTAGTGCCAAAATGTGAGACGAGATCTTCATACAGCTGCTGATTAAGTGGATCTACTTCCCCAATCATCCGTCCAATATTCCAATTGAACCTCCAGCCAAAATTCATGAGGCAAATTTCATTTCATTAGTGGTGCCTAACCTGGAGTTGGCATTCTGTTGTAGTCATGATGGTGGGATGGATAGGAGGCTGAAAGATGAATTAATAACACTTCATTATGATGAAATATCAAAGTATGTTGGAAGGTCACCTTGTGTTGTATAATTATATATTCAAAAGAATTTAAATTCTTGCTTCAGCCCTTAGTGGATCTGAGACAGCAGCAATGATGGGAAAAACCTCCCTTAAAAATCCCAAGAATCATACTTGTTTTGGCATGACACTGCCTAAGGTGATTTGCGAACAAGGCTGACTTTGCCAAACTTTCACATTAACGCAAGGTTCAGCATACATTTTAAAACATTAAATCAGCTTTCCATTCACATGGATAGGATTATTTGATTGTGTAGATTCTGTTAGTTTAAAGGGCCGCAATATTCTAATGTTGGAGCCAAACTTAAATACTCAAAGTAACCGTATGGTAATAATTTTAAGCAGTCATTCCAAAAAATGTCTAAGGTTGTCATACTGTCTGACTTTGGAAGATGTGGAGTGTGTCTGCTGCCACGAACAATACTAGGATTTTAGCAACTGACAATTTGAAAATCAGACTTGAAACTTACAGCAGGAGTAGATGCTCCTGTCTGAGTGAATTTAAGCTTTGGTTTTTTGTAGAAGCCAGTATTGCTGGATGCCTTAAAGCTTAAAAAAATACAGAAAGCTCTAAGTATGAGTTGAAATGGTCGTGTCAAAGAGGCTGCAGTTAGTAAATATCACGTGTATCTGGGAAGCAGTGCATACCATTATTTATGGTTTATTCAGAATCAAAATAAATCAAGCCCTTTATGGACAAGTAACAGGCTACTGTATTTTACCCCATCAGTTTCAATCTGATGTCGTATGGTTTCAAATTGGACTTGATGAAATTGTTCTCTCAATGTCCCTGCACAAAGTGGTTTGGAGTGTAAGTTGATACATGACCTGAATAGCAGCAAACGTGAAGGAGATAAAATGCATGTTTAGTTCATCGAAGATGGTCAGTATGTCTTCCAGTTATTGCTCTGCTCTTTTTCTTGGTGGCACAGATTGCCAAAGACATTATTATGTCTAACTGAGAAATGTCACAGTGATCTGGGTCTGCTTACTGTATTTGGTGTGGCCCCACAAGATAGGCAGTGACATAGAGCTCTGTTGTCTATGTGAGAGTGTCAAGATGTAAAGAGCCATTTTTTCAGAATTAACTCACCGTTAGCAAAATGAGATCCAGATCCTACACCTGCTCCTGTGTATGGGCAAAGAGAGGGGAAGGACAATAACTGAGTACTCCTTTTTCTCCCAGTGTAGATGGGAGAGGTCTTCTCCTATGAAGAGCAACAGTGAAATAATGTCTTTGGTTATCACTGCTCTTAAGGACCTGTATCAGACAGGAGAAAAGGAGTATGCAGAGAAAGGCAGGAGAAATTACGTTTCTCCATAACTAAAAGCCGCCACTGAAAACATGGGAATATGCATTGCTTGTTAAGTCATCAGGTCTCAGTTGAACAGTTTTGGAAACCATAACCATAAGTTTATTGCATGCGCTGTACTCCGAGAGCTTGTGCTGGTTTGGGCTGGGATAGAGTTAATTTTCTTCATAGTAGCTGGTATGGGCTTGTGTTTTGGATTGGTGCTGAAAACAGTGTTGATAACTCAGGGATGTTTTAGCTATTGCTGAGCAGTGCTTACACAGAGCCAAGGCCTTTTCTGCTTCTCAGACCACCAGCAAGTGGGCTGGGGGTGCACAAAAAATTAGGAGGGGACACAGCTGGGACAGCTGACCCAGACTGGCCAAATGGATATTCCATACCATATAATGTCATCCTTAATATATAACTGGGGAGGCTAGCTGAGAGGCAGGATCGCTGCTTAGAAACAGACTGGGCATCAGGGTGGGGGGGTTTTCTCCACAGGTGGTGAGCAATTGCATTTGTGCATCACTTGTTTTATTTTTTATTAATATTAATATCTTACTTTGTTATCCTATTAAACTGTCTTTATCTCAACTCACAAGTTTTTTTCCATTTTCCCCCATCCCACTGTGGGGGAGGGGTGAGCGAGGGGCTGTGTGGTCCCTAGTCACAGGCTGGGATTAAACCATGACAGTGCTCCAGAAGAGAGGGGCAGCCTGGCTATCAGTTGACCCAAGTTAGTATCTCAGTTTGCAGTGTCTCTGAATTGTGTTTCTTGAGTAACCTACCATTTGTTGAATCAAAATGGTACGCAACGTCTGGGGCCTGATCTTCACAGATGCCCTCATTTTTGGCTGGATCCTTAATCATCCGTCAGTAATCTGTTGGAATGTCTTCGGAATTTAAACATAAAATTGCACTGTTGATCACACCTTACTGAATTCAACACAAAGATGGCTGGAGTGCTGGGCGAAGAGGAACCTGATGAAGTTCAACAAGGGCAAGTGTAGGGTCCTGCACCTAGGGAGGAATAACCCCAAGCACCAGTAGAGGTTAGGGGCTGACCTGCTGGGAAGCAGCTCTGCAGAGAAGGACCTGGGAGTCCTGGTGAACAACAAGCTCTCCATGAGCCAGCAATGTGCCCTTGTGGCCAAGAAGGCCAGTGGTATCCTGGGGTCCATTAAGAAAAGCGTGGCCAGCAGGTGGAGGGAGGTTATCCTCCTCCTCTACTCTGCCCTGGTGAGGCCACATCTGGAGTTCTGCATCCAGTTCTGGGCTCCCCAGTTCAAGAAAGACAGGGAACTACTGGAGGGAGTCCAGGGAGGGCTACAAAGATGATTAGGGGACTGGAGCATCTCTTGTATGAGGAAAGGCTGAGAGAACTGGGTCTGTTTAAAGCCTGGAGAAGAGAAGACGGAGAGGGGATCTCTTCAATACTTAAAAATATCTAAAGGGTGGATGTCAAGAGGATGGGGCCAGACTCTTTCCGGTGGTGCCCTGCAACAGGACAAGGGGCAATGGGTGCAAACTGGAACACAGGAAGTTCCATCTCCACATGAGGAAAAAGTTCCTCACTTTGAGGGTCATGGAGCACTGGAACAGGCTACCCAGAGAGGTTGTGGAGTCTCCTTCTCTGGAGATATTCAAAACCCGCCTGGATGTGATCCTGTGCAACCTGCTCTAGGTGATCCTGCTGTAGCAGGGGGGTTGGACTAGATGATCTCCAGAGGTCCCTTCCAACCCTGACCAGTCTGTGATTCTGTGATTCTGTAATACAGCCATACAGCCATACAAATCCGAATTTCAGAATTTAATTAGGCACTATAGGGTGATAGTATTTTATAAATGATAAGTGAAAATATTTTAAATTGCACTTTGAAAAGAAAAAGTGTGTACCACTCTCTGAAAATATTTTTAGTCACTGTTTTTTCTGAAAGCCTTTGGACATTCAGCCTATTAATTTGTTTCTTTCCTGAACATATCTTTATGCAGCAGAAGTATTCCTCTCCTTCAAGGTAAATTCTGTACCGTTTCACACCCCATTCTTTACAGACCTTCATAAATCCATTGTCATGTATTTGACCCCTTAAACTTAGGAGCACATTTCCAATATACAATATTTTTTTCATTTATATCCATAATAAATAATCTCCAATTTTATTACGTTTTAATGAATTGCATGACATTCACTCCAGTTTTGTATCTCTAAACAGCTATTTAAGTATGTTCTTTATAGTTAAAACTATTTTGTTAATGATATAATTCATAGGATAGTCTTAGTTGATAGAAAGTTATTTCATGCATGCTAAAGGATGCAACTAAATTTTCAGAAGTAGCATGTTCAAAAATATCTCATCCGTCCCCTTATCAGTTTTAGTAGAAACTTGAAAGGTACACTCACAGACTGGATAAAACTTGGAGGCAGAAGAAGCGAGGTCTCAAAAAAAATAACACATTTTCACCCAATGCTAGCAGCTGTCAATAACAAATATGAATTCACATGAATTTAAGCAAGTCACATCCTAAAAATATTTCTTTATTCTTTCAGACCACTCTTCCGTGGAAATTCAGATGTTGATCAGCTAGGAAAAATCTTTGAGTAAGTAGTAACTAGTTGCATTATGTCGATATCTGTTTAACATTGAAACACTGTGTTTTTAATGCAATAATGTGACTAGAGCAAAGTATTCCTAGAACATATTTCCTATTGCTACCGTATGCAACATGATATTTCCGTGTATTCTGTGTCAGAGTGGGAGGAGGAAGCAACATGGAATATAGTTCTGCAGAACTAACAGCCATCATCAGGAAGTTATGAGAGACTTCTGTTCCAGGCTTTTTAAATCTCTTAAACATATTGTGTATGTATCGTTCATGCATATTCATAAACTGTTATATCCAAGAGATTGTCTTCACATAAACAGATGCAGAGGTTTTATTTTTCAGTAATTTCTTTGTGTATTTCAGAAAACAACATTAGAATACTTTAAAATTGTTATTAAACTGAAATCTCTAAGACGATTACCGACAGCTTCTTTGCAGAAAAGACTTCTGTACATAAAAAACTATTTTAGCTTTGAAAATAAACTGTGTAGCCTGTTAAAATAATTAACAGTACATATTTTGGTTGGGAAGGTAACTGAGAACAGAAGGAATATCGGCATTTTAACATGTGCTTTGTCAGAGATGAACTAATTGGCTTTATTTTAAAAACATTTTACAATTCTAGGAGTGTGTGGTTTTCTTCTTCAGATATATCAAATACATTGAGGAGGTGGGGAAGCTCTAAACTATCTGAGGTGGAATAATTCTCTTCCAAAATATGTTCTTAGTTAAAAAAAACCAAAAAATTAAGTTATTGATATTACCAATGTGATAATTAAGTAGGATTGTATCACTTTTTCTTGTAAAAGCTCTTCAGCGCAAGGAATGTTTCTGAATTTATAAGAACTGTGTAAATTTAAGATCTGATGTACGTATGATGGACTTAGGAAATCAAAGCCACGTAGGGCTGGTCCCACTCCGGAGAATGAATGTCCATTTGTATCTGCACCTCTGTCTTCCCTTTTCATATGGAGGGGCTGCAGGGATCCAGGGATCTGGATGAAATAAGAAATAGATAGGCAAAGAGTGAGAGAGAGAGAGAAGACTGAAATATTGTTCTCTTGAAGATATTCCAAAAAGAAGATACTAAAATTTCTAGGGAGAAGAGCTTAAACGGAATAAATAATGAATTTTTCTGTTTAATCATTTTTCCAGTTCTCAAATCATAACAGATCTGTTTCTAAGCATTTTCATTATTTAATATGAGGTTCCTAAATTGCAGGTCTTGATTTCACACAGTTGACTTCCCTTTCCTGCATACCATACCAGTGTATGTGACTCACTTGCGTGGTTAATTTGTCATGCGCTGAATAGCTCTTCCTGCCCAATCCAGAAAAATCAGTCCTTAAAGTTTACTTTTTCTTCTTCTGCCAAAGCTACTCCTTTAGTCCTACAATATTCTGCTTTATTAAATGAAGACAGTTTTCATACATACAACATACTTTATAATTAAAAAAGACATAGCTGTATTTTTTTTAAGGATTTTGATTTGTTCATGACATTTAAGGGGAAAAAAATCAAAATGAACTGGGCTAGGATTAAATGCATAGCTGCTAGCAGCAGCCTCCGACGGGGATCTTTCCATCCCTAGGGGCCGAGATTACCTGTGCAGAAAAGAATTCATCAAGAAGGGAAAATGCCGTGCTAATTTTAGAAGAAATTCCTTATTACACATCTACTTAAAAAGAAAGTTTGTTTTTGCTTCTTTTGTGCAGTTCTTAAAAAGTTCGAAAGTTTCTTTCTTGGGTTCTGGGGGGGTTATGCTAAATAGTGTTTATTTTGTGTTTTCACAGCTGGAGAACCCCCTACAGTTAGGCATAGCTCTTCTTGTAGGAGGATTGTTTCTTTCTACAGTAGTGACTCATTCTGCAGACTAATTTGGACAGAAAGTAGTTTCGGGATTTTCATGCAATCTGGACTGATGCGTTCTTTCAGATAATGGGGCTGTGGTCTACCTTTGCTTTACATGTGCGTTCTGATTTGCATCAGGTAAAATTCCACCACGTTTGAGGGTAAATCCCTCGGAGGTGGCCCAAAACAATTTCCTGCCTTTCCAGGACACCATCAGCATGTGGGATATCCTCATACATTTCAGGCTAAACGCTGCAATGGTTTGAGCAGACTTGTCCCCATTGTGATCAATGGGAGTGGAAAGTACTCAGCGTTTCTCAAGACCAGGCCTGAACCTTTGGCAGGAGGTGAAACTCATCCAAGATACTCCCAAACTTAGTCACTGAAGTGGTAGTGCTACCAGACCAGAGTGAGGGCATCTACTCAGACATTCATTATTAAGAGTTTTGAGTACTACGTGAGCGTGTAACTACAAATGTCTCTCCTTTCCACTCTTGGTCTTGTCCACCCTAGCTGTCCAACAGGCTGCCTCCTTGTTTCTTTTTGTTAGCTTTGCCTGTGCCTGTGCTCATTCTGCCCTGTTCATGCTCTCTCCCATGCAAACGTAAAAAACCTGGGACTAACCAAACACATTTGAATGGCAGGTTAAACTTCATTGTTATTTAAAATATTTAACTCCCTCATCTTCCTGTGGTGCTATTTGTGTTATATTTAATACAGGTCCAGATGCTCAAACAGCTAACCACATGGCTTTAACCCCCCTGGCCAAGGGAGTTGCCTCATACCTCCACCTGTGGTGATAAAAGTCAAATTCAATTTTTCATACAGATTTAACTTCTCATTTCCCAAGAACTGTGATGTCTTCAGATGTAGTAAAATTAAATCGTCCTGAGATTTTAATTGCTTTGCCTTTCTGCCCATGCTGTTGTTTTGAGGATATAGTAATTTTCGGAGGTGTTTTAGGTGAGCCAAATTACAATCTAAAAATCCATGTAGGTAGAGGTGGAGTAATTCCACTAAGTTCACTGAGGTGACCTATGATTTACATCAAAGTGTTTGGCCCATGGCCTCACCCAGGCTTACGACCAACCTCAGTAAGAAGAAAGGTCGATGCTGCTCCCTAGTGGCATTGGGCTGAGTGCAGACCCAAGTATTTCAGTGACCTTTTTTCATGTTCCTTCTTGTCTTACCCTGTCAGTGTTTCCATTAAAAATCTTGATTTTGCAGGCTGTAAAAACTGATTTTTCCCTGAAACCTGACTAGTAATGTATGGTCTTTTCCACAATTTCCATCAGAAACTGGTGTTTCAACCCCACAAATACTAGCATCAAATTTAGACATGGTATGTATGAGACGTGATTCATCATTGGAGGTTTACCTACTATTTCATTTATCTGGGTTTTAAACCTTAGCATGATTATTTAATAAGTACAAATATCTTCTAGAATTTAAAGAATAAAGAAAAAATATAAAAAGAAAAGATTCTATTAAAGGGTAAAGAAAAACTAAAATACCATTGAAAGTAAAAACATAAAGACACTCAACTCCTCTGCCACTTCTGAATTGATACTTTAAAATCTGTATTGTGAAGCAAATAAATTGTTTAAATTTGGGCAACAATTACTGCACAGAGCTTTGAAGCATTATGAAACATCCCTTTTATTGCCTTACCCTCTTCTTGACCCACACTCTTCTCTCAGTCCCTATTCTTGTGAATAAAGATCCTTGCATGCAATTCCCCTTTGAAACTTACTGCTTTTAATCATCCTGGAGCGACATATGTTGCACCATCCAGTCAAGAGCTGAGCAATTTTCTTCCAAAGCACTCAGCCCTTTTTCAACAAAAAGACTCAGAAAATTGAGACCTAGGCCAGAAAATTGTGCTGGCCACGGAATGATTTCTACCAAGCACACTGAGGACCTATACTCATCAGCCTCTATTAACAGAGATCAGTGCACTACCGTACAATTAATCTCATTTAAATGAAAAGACTTATAAAGTAAACTGCCACTCAATATAATCAATATAAAGGGGAGACTGCATAAATGTTCAGACCTAACGTTAAGTTTTTCCTTTCACAGTGTGATTGGACTCCCAGAAGAAGAGGACTGGCCTAACGACGTTGCCCTTCCAAGAAATGCTTTCACTTCCAGACCTGCACAACCTATTGAACAATTTGTACCAGATATTGATGAACTGGGCAAAGACTTGCTTCTTGTGAGTTTCTATTTGTTTTTCTCCAAGCTGCATGACTGATAGTTCCCATCGTGCATGCAACATGCCAAAAGACATTTATGTTTCCATTTAATGGAGTTATTAAAGAAAAGCGCAAAAGTAGGTAGACAGATTAATGTAAATCTGTGAAACATCAGCACAAAGACATCGCCTTTTGCTCAGGAGGTGTCAGAGCTGGGAACAGTTAGAAACTAGAAAACTGTGTCAGGAAAGTACCTGTTTGACCTGTCTTTAGACCTTATGCTTAGATCCTCATTACTGACCACTGTTGGGCCACTGATTCAACCATTCTTATAGTATAAGCCTGGTGTGAGTACAAAAACTGACCTACCATTTTTCGTGGTATAGTGGACCCAGTATAAAGCAGAAAATAGTCTGTAGAAGCAGATTACATCTGCGTGCCTTCTACTGAATGCTGAAAACTTGAGATTTGGAATTCACCAGTTGTTGCCTCTTACAAATGGCAGGACTGAATAGAAGCAAACAAATCATGCTGGTACAACTGGTACCACTGAATTCAATGAAATTATTTCCATCATTTTTATAGATATATTATAAACCTCAGCCCTGAAGTTCAGTCTTGGCATGGAATATAGGGAATGGCCTTGCCACAGTTTGCCTTTTGCCATGCTTGTTGAAATCTAGCTGAATTTGTTCTCTGGAAGCCTTTAAAAGATCTTGGTTCACATGGGCTCGGTAGAGTGGGCTCAGTGGAACTCTTGAAAGACTTGCTGCATCCCTTCAGGAACTGCTATCTCTGACCAACAGCATCTCTACAGAACAGCAGATAGTCCTCCATTGTCCTTATGACTGCAGCTCCCAGCTGCAGTAAGCTGGACTACATCTGGACACTTGAAATGACAGGGGAGAAACGCATCTGTTGTGCTTGCAGGCAGCCTGGAAATGGAAGCTAGACATGGGACAAGAATTAGATTCAGGGAACAACAAGGAATAAAATACGGCAGAGAGCTCAGTGAGTGTGAGGCATGATGGGAGGGAGGGAAGAAGACAAATCTCTGCCTAGAAGGTGAGGTGGGAAGGGAGGCTGTTCCTGTTAGGCAAAGAGCTGAGAACTGGGAGCCACAGATGAAAGGGGAGAGTAGGACTGGAAGTCAGTGAACTAAATTTCAGAAGTTAAATGGTAGGAATTCTGATAGAAGAAAAGAAAGTAGGAGTAGGAAGTGGTTAGACAAGGATAGTAGGAAGAATACTATTTGGAGGTGAATGAAGGAAAAAAGAAGAACAAGGTATAAAAAGCAAGGCTATAGGAGAGATTTCAGTGCTGGCTGGACAAAGGCTGGGATAAGGATCTGGAAACAAGCCAAAGTACAGCTAGGAAGAAGAGGGAGAAACTGAACACAAAACATTAGCATACGAAGGCTATAAAGTCAAAGTCCCAAGACCTATAGAAATGCTGAGTCTAGAAATGAACCTATACATTATGACGCCATCCATATTTCTATAACCAGAAAAGAACAGTGCATTGAACACTGAGGGGATTCAAAAGTTGTTCATGAACAGTTGTTCCCTGCAGTCTGTGAGACAGGTGTCCTCTGCATGTGAATTCAAAAAAAAACCTCAATTCTGGGATTTCCTAAACTATGAGTAGTTGAATTGTCTAACTTGTTATTTTCTAATAGCTTTGGGGATGCCATATTCATATACTATGATCCCACTGCTTGTTTTAATATGGATGGTCAACTTATTGTGCAGCACCTACTGAGACCCTGCTGTGTCTCACACTGATCATATATTGAAGGTGGTATGCATGAATGTATATATGCAAATTAGCACTGCTAACTGCACATTTTAATTAAAACCAACTTCTTTTCATGCTTACAGAAATGCTTAGCATTCAATCCAGCCAAGAGAATATCTGCCTATGTTGCCCTCTCTCACCCATATTTCCGTGATCTGGAGAAATGCAAGGAGAATCTGGACTCTCACATGTCATCCAGCCAAAACTCCAGTGAGGTGAATGCATCATAATGCTGACTGAAGATGAACCATAAATGAACAAGACGTGTAGCTGACAAGGCCACTGTCCCATACAAACCACATAGCTGTTCTAGCGAAGATCATTATTTGGAGGTTTTATGCACTTATCTTTTATTTTGGGATTGTGACGTGCTTATCCAAGAAAATCAATCATCTAGTTTACTTTCATCAGAGCAACGCAAGGGCCAGGGCTTTGACCTGCTCCCATTGCAGCTTTATGTTTGTTTTGTTTTGGTTTTGTTTTGTTTATCTACCTGGGAAAACTCCAGACGAAGAGAAGCTGCTGACCGGTTTTGCTGCCATTTTATCCTTTTAATATTGAATGCTGCCAGTGTGGAGTAGGATGGTCGACTAACTGCCAAACCACGATGCAATCTCTCTCTCTAGCTGCTGAAGGATGATTTGGTACTTTTATTATTATTATTATGTGATCTCTTACAGTGATATTTAAAGAATGGCATTGAAGTATCAGATCTCTGCAACCCGCAGTTAACTGATACATGCATTAATACATCCAGCTACTGTTCATCCATAGTATATATGCAGGTGCTTCCCCACTTGAAAACTGGGATGGATTATTTTATCATTTCATTGTTCTATAAAAACAACAGCAATGATGGTGATCATAATAAATGTCTCAACTTTTAGGTTTTTTCATACACAAACAAGTTATTACCTAGCTACGTTTGTGTGCAAGTTGCAAAGAACAAGTGTTTTTAAAAACTTCTAGATTCCTGTTCTTAAAGACTCTTTTGGTTTCCAAACGGTCAATTTGTGTTGAAATCCAGGCACATTCTAGCCCATCGTCTAACCCATCACTCCTCCCTGGAAACAGCTGCAAGCACATTTTTTTAATCTCATTCTAGATTTTCTGATATGCAGCTCAAAGACATGAGCAGAGCCAATGAAAATCAATACAGATTTTCGCCTTCAACCTGTTCTGATTATCAGCCAAGTAGGAAAATAGAAAAAATATTTCCAGTTCAGAAGCAGAGAATCCTATAGCTGTATTTGTACTAAACTGTATGCTGTATACTACACTGCCTTACCTGCAACAGCCCCCCATGCATCCCAAGTGCATGAACATTACTGTCTCAAAATCCCTCAGATGTCATTTATTAAGCAGACTTGTTTCCTATGCAGAAATGCATGAGCTTCTCTCCTAAACCACCATGTGGGTATACTGGCACGTGCTTCTCCCCTAGGGTTAACGTGCCATTATTGAATGTCAAAATAACTAAGCAATTCACATGCCTTTATAGCACAGTTATTTTAAATATTACATGAAAGTTTTATATTTAGTATTTTTACCTTAACTAAAATATATTTTCAGTATTTTAAAAAGAAGCTTTTATTTTTTTAATACTGTACTGGGAAGAAAAGAAATATTTTAAATCCATAAAAGCTGTTCCCTAGTATCACTTTAGTGCATTTACCTGGATATGACTTGGGGGAAAATACTGGTCCAACGAGTTAGCCCTTACCATAAAACCGTAAATATACACTATTGCAGTATAACTGATGATAAGTGAGGCAGCTAGCTTTGCTTACTCCTGGATAGTCCCTTAGGCTTCTCTCTTCCTCATCTCTCTTTCATCTTGTCTAGCCAGTGAGCCAGCGTTACATCCTTATTCACAGCATGCTTGGCAGAAGCAGGTCCTTAGCAGTGAGTTGAGCAATATAATTTTTCCAGCAGTGGCACGGGAACTTATAGCCGTCTCCTTGGCAGGTTTCTCAGTCCTGTGATAGACTGGCCGTTGTGGCCAACTTCACTGTTAACTCTGTTTCAGGTAGCTGCACTGTCCGGGATGTGTACCATTGCTAGGATAATCAGTGGATCTTACCTGTCTCTTGGATAAAGCTTTTCGTTACTGTTAGACACATAAGTATGCGACATATGGTTAAATTAGGTCTGTTTTAAATAAGCCAGATTTTAAAAGGACCACATGCATGCAGTGGCCTGTGCTTTTCTTCATGCCCAGAATGATGCCTATGCAAAACCTACCAGCATGAACAGGCAAGTAGCAAATTAGGCCTGGCAAGAGCATGCACGAGGCATCTGCACACAGAGATGCTACGGATGCATAACACAAGAATTTTGGAAGCTTCGTGAGCGGCAAGCTGAAGGCCAGGGAAGCAGGCACGGCAGCCAACCCTCTAATCTTAGCCTTGCCTCTGTCATTCTCTCTGTTCCTACGTCCAAGGGGAACTGCGAACCCACTGCGCTGGTGTTGTCCCAGCCCTAATCCTCCATGGGTCAATGGGCTGGTGTATGAATAGGTTTTAACATTCATAGAAAAGCATGGGCCAGACTGAAATTTTTGCTAACCATTTTTAAACACTAATTAGAGCAACAGAGAGAAAATTCAAGAGAATCTTGCCACAGTGATAAAGAGAAAAGTTTTCTACGCAGTTCAGCACTTTTTAAAACATGCCACATTTTACCTAGCACCGAGCTATCATGCGTACTTTATCAGGGCATTCAGCTGATGTGGCTTTCCAGCAGCTCTCAGGGAGCTCTCCCAGAGCTCCCCCACAAGTAACATAGGGTGAAAATGTAGGGGAGGAGGGGGTATTTTCAAATTAGGCTCAAAAGTCTCAGACAGAGATGTGTATCTGTTCCATGTTAGAAGAGCTTTTTGTATTAAGCATAGCGAAGCAAAGGCTAGAAGAGAATACAATTGCTGAATGTAGGTACCTGATTAGGATAAAACAAAAAGAAGGAAAGAGGACACTTTAAGCCAAAGGTTAGTGTTGGCCCAAAAACTAATGAGAATATGGAAATCATAAGGAAGTTAATTACTGAAGCAGTATTTCCCAATCTGTAGTATCAGAAGGAGAGCTCAGAGAGCAGCAGAGAAAAGCAGGGGCTGGCTTCTGGAATCAGAAGCAGAGTTTCTGCATCAGGGTGCTGTATGTTGTCTAATATAGGATCAGGTTATAAATGGGAGTGTCAGGAGAACAACTTGAGAAGGGCTGCACTAATGGTCACATTCTGGAACATCCTTCCAGTGGGAATGGCAGGGACAAAAAAAGAAATATAAGTTCTGTCTTGGCAGCATCGGGAAAAAGATTTATCTAATGGAGTCTTTGTGGTAGCAAGGGCAGGGCCTAGAGTCAAAGGACCAATGACTTTTCAAATTACCTTCTTTTCAAAATCTCTTTAAGAAGAAATTCCATTTGACACATTATAGACTTACTCTTATTCCAGTCTTCCCTGCCAACTGTGGGGCTTCACTTACACTAGTAAACTGAGAAATCCTGTTCTCTGGCTGGGCAAAGTGCTGGCACTGGCTAAAATCATGCCAGGAATCATGCTGATAATTAGACAGTACAGGCAACTGTGAGACTGTGCACAAGCCCATGCCCTTGCTCTTTTTATTTTACTGGTACAGTTCTAGTCTTTGAGTACCTTTACTCATTACTGCCGTGTGTGTAGGACATAGGAATTGTATAGGTGAAAAAGAAAGTGCTCCTGGATACGCATGTTCCAGACTGCGATGAAAACTCTTCATGCACCCTTTAAATAAGACTTGAGAGTGCAATTCTTCTTAGCAATAACTATGCCTGTATGTGTTCTACAGGAGCAGTTCAACAGCATCTAAAACCCACTGAATAACAAAATAACAGAAAATGTATTAAAAATAAGTATAGCTGTTTAGCTCCTAGAGCACCCAGGCACAAGCAGGCACTGTGCTCTTCTCAGCAGAGAACAAGGTGTTCCAAGTAATGGAAGGAGCAATTTCTATCTCCCACCAATTTCTATCTCCCATCTCCTCTTTTTTTTTTTTTTTTTTTTTTTTTTTTTTATTACTACTACATAATTCTGCAGGAAAAACAGACCAAATAGCCAAGGGAAAAAATCACCAAAGGCAGCTAGTGAAGTGCTGAGTGCTGAACCATAGCAATACACCTGGAGCAGCCCTTTTCTCTCTTCACCGTGTCTCCACGCTCACTCTAGCTTTCCCGTTCTTCTCCTTCAGCTGCCTTATCGAAACAGGTTTCAGTGACACTCACAGGTGCTATTTCCAATGAGATTCTTCCAAATTTTCAACAGCTGCAGTGTCAGTGTCCCGTGTCCCTGTTACCAAGTGTTGCTTCTTTTAGCCTAGCAGCCAAGAACCGATGATTAAAAAAGAATCTCTTTGTGCAACCTCCTTGCTCACCCTTAGTTTTGCCTTCTGTGTGCCAAGTAAAATTCTAAAAATAGAGTTTGTGCATATTTCTGTGTAGGCTGTGCCACACTCCAGGTTTGTTTCAACTTATTAGTCCACAATGGTAAAAGTTAGAGTACCTTTCTCTGCTGGTTCTGTCCTAAAACACACCAAAAAAATGAAGATGTCGTGTTTGCAAAATATTGAAATTTGGTGCTACGTGTACAGAGCCTTTACATGAAAGGGGTCAGTAAGTTGTAGTATTTGAGCATCTTCCGCATGGGGGATGGTATCCAGCATTGTAACTCTTTCGTGGTTTTTATACTCAATGGTTGCTTTGGTGAATAAGAAGAAAATACTGTGCCGTGCTACTTTTCACAGGTTCACTCACTGTCTTTGAGAAGCATCTTTTATTATACGTATAATTCTCTCTGCTGTTAGGTATTAGGTCAACTTTAATACGGAAAATGAAGAGAAAACATGCTGGTTTGGTCTTTTAGCCAACGAACGTGGAGCACTTATCTGACTCACAACTGAAAACACATCAGTTGTCAAATATGTATATGAATCATAAACCACAGAGTTTGGATTAAAAGGCCATGTAAATTAATTATCTTCCATGTATAAGACACAGCTGAATAATGACGAAGTTTATTCTAAGAACTCTGTTCTGTAGAACCACTTTGCTAGCATTTTTCATATACGGTAGTTTCAGGAATAGATTGATTTTTATATACAATGTGAATTAGAAGATACTAGGCTATTAGAGTGATTTTGTTGTGTTATGCTTGAAGCTTGAATTGACCACAAGCTTAGGAATCTAACATATTTATTTTATTGCTACAAAACTGCTTCTAAATATCAAGATCTTTTTTGATGTTAACAGCATTTCACACTGCTCTTAATGTGTAAATGGTTTTCTTGAAATTAGTCTACTAGAAAAAAACATTTTTCCAAACTGCAGCTGTTTGGGAAAATTTAAGAAATGTATTTTTACTTTCACAGAGAATAATAACGTGTTATATACTGAAATCTTCAGTAACTGACTATTAATAAGCTATCACTTTTACTTCTTTTTGATTACTAAATATTGCAGTATAAAGATTATTTGCCATGAAGAAAAAAATGAGAAACAATCTCTAGAAAAGTAAATGGGATTTTGTATATTTAACCTTCCATGTTTCATTTTCATATCCAGGGTTTTTGTGCAAGTACAGTTCAGGTGTGCAAAAACACAACTACAATTTTAACAGTCTTGCAGGCTTTACAACTCAGATAGGATTTTTATTTGTGAGCTATTTATTTTATTATATCTCTTTGTTTTGCAAATTGTTAGATAATGGCTGTAAAATAATTCTAGTTTCTGGACCAGACTCTGTAACCATCAAATCCAAGTAATTTATGTAAAACAATAAGAAGCTTTATCATCAAATTAAACAAACTAGGCAATTAAAAGAAGAAAGGCGGACATATGAACTGACAAATATACTTTTGCCAAGTGTTATTTCTTCCCTTTAGTTTGAAGCTTAGCAAGTATTGCATACTGATAT